GGAATTTATCAAAACTGGAGCAGACAAAATTTGGAGCAAATTTGCACTGCAACCAATCAGCTTCTGTGTCTCATTTTCAAATCTTGTCTGAGCAAACTGAAGAGAGATGCTGATTGGTTACCATGGGAAACTGCTCCAAATTCTGTCTGCTCCAGTTTTTATGAATTCCTCTCTGAGTATTTTGATTTTTGCATCATCCAGCTGTAAATGGTTTTCTTTTCATTGTTGGTTTATCTCCAGTGTACAGACGTAAAGGGATTCTCAAAGAGTGGATCAGACTTTTTTTTATTACATATTCGTGGTAGCTACAAACATCACTGTGGTCATGAAAAAAACAGGTAAATCATAGTATGTTGTAATCCAATTAACTTTAATATTTAACATCATACCTCCATTGAACTACATATAAAGAGTTTACTATCAAGACAATCACCCAGACACTAGAGCAGAGTCCAAGTTGAGGAAAATGTCTTCTAGCCCGGTAATTATTAACACTTTGTATTCAGTTCAAGTTGGCCTTTGCCCAATGTCTAGTTCTAGTCAGGCAGAATGGTTCTCGTAGGATAATTCCCACAAGCTGCCGCTTGAAAAAAGCATGACCATGTTTGCATTTCTGTTATGGCTCTTTTACAAAGCAGAATTTGCATTTGAGTGCCTATATAAATACCAGTATATATCTTTGCATTCCACTACCTTTATTGGCAAAGCTGAACTCCAGGACGCCATGTGTATTTTCACTTGAATCTTGATGCGCTTTGTGTATTGCTTTTAGATCTGTGCAGTGTTAAACTTTTCCGTTGTTCAGGAGTTTCCTGTAATAAAGACCAGTCACTACTGCTCTCCCTCCTTGTGCATGGTGACTGGTCTAGTTTCCACCCCCTCCTGTAGTTTATTGCAGGCAGCCTGTAGTGGGAGGACTTCCTTGGCCACTCCCACACCTCTGCTCTCTGCACAGGGTATGTGCAGCACAGTGATGATGTCACTGCTACTTTAGCAAGGTAACATCTAGCTTCTCAAAGGCACTTGGTGCACATGAATTTCAGCTTTAATATCTTGGTGTATGGTCAGGCGGCCGCCTGACTTGCCTTGCGGTAGCGCCGGGCCTGTATGGTAGAAACATTTTAAATGCCTTAAATCTGAAGCAATCTCATGCATAATGTCAAACAATGGTCTGGTAATCTGGTTGGCCATGTAGGGATTAACAAGGGAATTAGATGAGTACAAGCTTGAGACGATAGCCAATAGTTCTAAAAGACTCATCTGAACCTGTCTTATATATGGTATTCTCTAGTGGTAACTGATAACAGATACAGTATCATAAACATTTTGCTCATGTAATGAAATTAGGGATACACCGATATCGTTTTTTCTGTATCGCATACAAATACTGATATTTTCCAGTAGTTGCTGATACCGAGTACCGATACTGGTGCTGTGTGCCTCGATTGCCGGTGAAGCCAGTATTCTAGCGAAAGAACACCGTCTTCACTTCTCAAGACTGCCTGGCTTCCTGAGCCATCAGGAAGCCGGGCGGCAGGTCATGAGGTGCCGCGCGGCTTCCTGATTGGTCAGGAATCCAGGTTGCCTAGCAACAAGTGAAGCCGGCTTCCCTAGCCAATCAGGAAGCCAGGCAGTAGGTCATGACTCACCTCCCGGCTTCCTTATTGGCTAGGAATCCGACCAATCAGGAAACCAGGAGGTGGGTCATGACGTGCTAAGAGTGGTTAGGAAGCAAGGCTGCCTAGCAACAAGTGAAGCTGGCTTCCTAGCCAATCAGGATGCCGGGAGGTGGGTCATAACCCACCACTCAGCTTCCTGATTGGAAAGGAAGCCGGCTCCATGCTCCTTTGGCACTGCCAATCAGTGGCAGATCTCCCTCTGACAGGAAGTTCTGGTATTGGAGTTAAGTATCAGAGTACGAGTACGGCACCTATACTAGTATTGGTATCCCTATTTAAAGGAGACGTATGAGGTGAGTGCTTTTCACTCACCTCATAGTTCTAGCCGACCTGTCACAATGAGACTGTCACAGGTAGGCTCAGTAGATTGGGAAGTGAGCGAACACATACCGGCGTTCGCTCACCTCTCGATCCTGTCACAGCTCTATGACGTGACAGGGGAGTGGCTGGATTCCCCCCTCCCGGCTCCGATCCGCCAGCGCTGACTAGCGGAACGGATGGGGGAGGGGGCGGGTACAGCTGTCTCTGCCTCTAGATAGGCAGAGCCAGCTGTCACTCACACAGCTGGGCGGATCCAGACATAATTGTCGGGATCCGCTTCAGCGTCTCAGTATACCGCGAGCAGTAGCTTGCGGTATACTGTGGCGTCTCAGTATAGCTCGCGGTATACTGAGCTTAGGGTGATGGGAAGACGCTAGTTTGTGTCCTCCCGCTACCCTAAGGAGAACTATGGGGAAAAGCCTTAACCCCATAGTTCTCCTTTAACCCTTGCAGTGCAGGTGTAGTCCCACTGCAAGCGTAAGTTTTTTTATATTCCTGGAATTCTTCTTTGTGATCTAGTTATATATACCCCTAATTTTAGCTCTATTTGATTTGTCTAAGGACTCTTGGAGATAAGATTCAGAGGTGAGAGGTAGCTGAGCTCTGCCAGTTGCTGCCATATCAATCAGAGGACTCAGGGTATAACAAGCAATATCAAAGGCTGGTCCCTGTAGTTGTTTACAGGTATTTACAGGGCTCCGTAATGTAATACTATTAGTTCACCCTTCTCACAATGTTTCATGCTACATCCATATTTAGGGTGTAAAATAAAACATGGTTGCATTCCCCAACACATCATCTTCAAACCCCCCTCCCACTTACCTAAATTGCAGGGAGATTCTTCTACCTGCAGACATCTGTTTTTTTGCTAATATGTGCAGGCTCATTCATTCAACGAGATCTGTCAATGAAAAAAACTATGGCAGAGGGACTCACAGATCTAAATAAAGCACAAATACAGTGATGTCACCGCACTTGTAGTGCATTGTTTACTTCCTGCAGCCCCACAACAGAAGCTTTGTACCTTTGTGGCCTGGGGCTGGGATGTACACAATGCAAGGGCCTGAGCATTGCACCCGCGACACACTGATCATAATTGCAATGCTTGCAGGCTCGAATGAAAAAAATGATTAGATGCGACAAGGGTAATATATGTGAAATGATCACAAAAAACATTATATATTGTGACAGATTTATTATCCCAGTGACCAGTTTATAGATCCTTCGCTGCCTACCCAAATGCACTTACTCTATACACCTAAAATATATGCAATCTTTTTAATAATATGTGTTACAAATGGCTGTGAAATGTAGCAAACAGGGATTTCCCTATTTTTGATGCACATGTCGCATTCAACAGAACCATGAATTGCGAATCATTGTTTGTCGCACTAGCAAAAATGTGGCCATCTGCACTATTTTAGTGTGGTAGTTTTTTGAGCACAGTGTAAATGTTCAGCATGAGGACAGTTATTTGGCAGAACAGTAACTGTCAGACTTCTCACCTTCAAATCTGTGTTCCAGGTCAAAATTTTTTGAAGTAAAAAGAACACAACATAAATGTCAGTCAACTGCCTTTCCAGAGTCCAGTGAGGCAGGCCCTCTTACTAGACAGGGTTAGTCATTAGGAGGAGAAAATGGTTGTTAGGCACAACTATGGTGAAAAATGCATGTTCTGTGCGTTTTTCAATCTCTGCCATTAAAGTCTGTGGGGCCAAAAATACGCAATTCTGTCCGAAAAGACGCTCCTTTACTTTTTTGATCTTAAGGCTATAATGAAGTGGAAAAGAGCTGGCACTCGCAGGAATCCTCTTAATGGCGTTTCTCTATCGAAAAGGCACAAAAGCAGCTACAAAGGGTGCTAACATGTTTCAGTCCCCAAAGGGACCTTAATCATGGCTATAATGCTCAGGTGTGAACGGGAACAACGGAAAATAATGGGATTCCTCATGTTGAGTGTTGTGGTGCTTTGGGAAACATGTGACACAAACACTCTGGCTTAAGGTGGCCATACACTGTACAACCATCGCAAGACCTTAGTCTTGCGATGGTTGTAAAGTAATTAAAAAAATGTATGATCTGCCCATACATCATACATTTTGGGGCGGGCCTCCGGATGACCGCAATGCTGAATGGGCAGTGTGCGCGTGCACACACCGTTCGGCATTTGTCTCCCGCGCACCGTTCAAACCAGCCGAAAATCGGACGATTTTCGGCTGGTTTTCTAGCGTGCTCCTTAGACAAAAGACGTGTGACCGTACAGTAGAAACGGTCGCACGTCTTCGTTCACACTGCTCGAGTCTTTCCCGCGATTCTCGTACGAGAATCGAGCATTGTATGGGCACCTTTAGACTACCCATACATGTGTAGATTTCTCTCTGGCTCAGACAGAAATCATTCAATTCCCCCATCCATGCTAAATAGCATGGCTGGAGGAGAAGGAATCACCGCTGTATTGTATTCAGACAGCCGCCCTATGCAGCTGCCTGAAAACCTGAACAGTGTCTGTATCTGATTGGTTGTTCTGCCTCCCAGCTCCTTTCATTTTAAAATCTAGTTTTGTCATTTGTCATAGCCTCCCATGGACTGAATTCCAAACAGTTCAGCAGCCATGTATGGTCCGCTTAACAGGCAGCCATTTGTACAATGGTAATACATATTTTGCATTGTTTTCTGTTTACAGTAGAAGTATGTGTATTTCTGTTTTCTGGGAACTTTTTATTTACAAGCATGGAGTGTTTTTGTAATAAGTCTCCATTTGTTATGGACTGTGTGTTCATCTCGGACGGTTGACATTACTTCTATGAAGCTTTGCACATCCACTCTTAGGAACCGTGTCAAAACTGTGCCATTTATCCGAACTTTTCCTCTCAGGCCGCTCCGGCCACACCACATAAATGGGTTGTTATTATTATTATAACCGCTACTATGGAGCTGAGCAGGACGCTGGACTGGCAACGGGTCACGTGACACGCTGAGTCCCAAAGGAGTACCGCTTGTCAGGTGACGGCTTCGGAGGAGAACGCGGGAGCGCGCCGACGAGTGCACGCGCAGGCGGGAGGTGACAGCCGGTGAACGCGCTGTGTCGGTTGGACGGAGAGAGAGCTTCGTGAGCTGGAGGATAACAGGGAGCGCGTGCCGACAGAGAGAGGAGAAAAGTGGGCAGGGACCGACGGGAAGAGAGAGAGGGTGCAAGGCCTGGCTACCGTGGAGACAAAAAGCAAAGCAGCAGGGCGTGTGGCGGACCGGGAGCAGGCGCAGAGCGGAGCTGTGCGGTGAGTGTTTGATGGAGCCGCTAACCTTCCAGATGTTTCGTCTTGTTTTTTCCCAGGCCGGCCGAGAAATGGTGATCCCGGCCGCCCCTGTGTGAGTAGGGGACCCCGACATCTCCATCTGTCCTCCTACCCTAGCCTTTGTTATACGTCCCCCCTCCCTGATCCCGGGCTGTGCTCCATCCCCCTTCCTCTCCTCCCCTGGGGTCTCTCTTCCTGTCATGGTCCCCGAGGCTGGCTGGCTGCTGTCCTCGTGTGACATAGGTGTCATTGATGATCGGTGCCCGCCTGGTGCACCCACATCGGTGACATGTGCCTGCTGGCACTGCACAAAGTTTAGGCTGAAGTTTCCTCCGTTTGTGATTAGCTCCTTGGCAGGGTGGGCAGGTGTGATGCTCTCTGGTCGGTTCGATCATCTCCTCCACAATGTGCTGCTCTCTTGTTTTGGAGAGAAATTCCTTTGTTGACATGCAGCATACTTAAAATTCTCTGTCTTCCTTACAGGGTTGCTAAGCATAACATACAAACTAGTGTGAGGTTATCTTAGTATTCGTGTATGGATGTGTAACAGTCATCACAACTGAAGGCAGGCAGTCTTCCCTAAAGCAAAATAATGTGAAATATCGCATCTTCATCCTTCATATCTGGACCAGGAGAATCCTGGAGGATGCCATTGCTAGTTGCCGGCTTCATGTCTCTGATCTAGTCACAGAAGTCTCCAATACTCATTTGTGTACTTGTTCTGGGTCTCTACACCCCCATTCATAACTAAGCGATTTGAAGAGCGTCAACGCTAGACACTTAGGGCCGATTTACACCACTTGTGTCACGGAGGGTGACCAGTCACACCACCACAATGCGGTAGGAACGGTACAACCGCCTTGCACCCCGCTGTGCCCATAGAACTGAATGAAACGTCACTTGTGACATTCCAATAAAGTTATAACAAAAAAAAAAGTACACACTGGGATTAGCACTTTTGGCACTGTGTCAGGGCACCGCACACCAGATGCTGTTCGATTTAGCACAGCGTCTGGTGTGAATTGGCCCTTAGGTGTCCGTTATATCCTATTGTGCCTGTTCACATGTGAGTGATGCACTGTTGCTCAACGTTCTAAAAAGTAGCTTCTTTGGGTCACGATTGTGCGGTTTTGACCCCAATAGACTTCAAGCACCTAAAAAAAAAGTGTTTTTTTTTTTGTGCATAATTGTCTCTTCCTCCTAGTCAGGAGTAAAAGTTATTATATAGTTAACTGCTCATTTTAGTGTTGGGGAAAGGAATAAGGTGAAATACTTCCTGCCTTCACCGGTCATCCAGGAACAGCCTCTCCGATGTCACTACGTGCAATGCAGGATGAGGAGATGGGCCCCACCCCCTGGCTGGGTATCTGGGTAGAGTCTTTTCCCCTAGACTGAACAAGCAGTTAAGGTGACATTAAAGTAAATTTTTTTTCCCCTCCTCCCAGTGTTAAGTAAAACACTTACCTTTTAAATGATGTCTCTTAATCCGATCATCTTCTTCTTTCCTGTCCTTTTCAGCCCTCTCTCCAGCGCTGCTGCGGGTCTCCGATCCAGCGCTGACTCCTCTGTCCTTGCTGGCTCTTCCTGTCCCACGTTGTCTGCATGCGGATGCACGCGTCCATAGACTTACCTTGCGTCTCTGCTCATCTCCCTGCCGAAAATCCGAACTGCGCATGCGCCCGTCCCAAGATGCTTTGCGGCCGCCCGTGCAGTTTCGGATTCTCGGGCGGGAGCACGCGACGAAAGCATGGTAAGTGTTAACCGCTGTTAAAGCATTTTTTAAAAAAACACACTTTTTGCCTATATCTACTGCATGCTAGCAGTAGATATAGGCAAAAAAAAACGGAGGGTTTAGAAACCCTTTAAGTTTAATTCCTAGAATACAGCGAATGGTGCTGTACCAACGGGGTGTTTCACTGTGTTCTCTGCATAATTCTGTAGAGAATATTGTACGATTTTGGAGGAGGATCTTGTCACATGCCCGATTTCCACCTCCTCCTGACATGTTTTTTTTTCCTGTTCATTAAAATGAATAGGGCTTCACTTCAGGTCTTACCAGTCCTTTTATGAATTGCCCCCATATTCTTTCATTATTATAATTGAACAGTCTTGCCTAAAAAACTAAACCCCATTATTTGTATCCTCCTTAGTTTTTAGGAGGATGCCTTTTTGTAAATAATGGGCAGAGGCGGAATGCCCTCTGAAGTCTTAGGGCTAGTTCACACCAAGTGCGGAGCAGATGCAGAGCAGTTACAGAACGCATCAAAGATGCATTCAATGTGTTCCAATGATATTTTGGGCTCTAGTTCACACCACAGAGTTCAGTTCCAGAGCATGTGAAAAAACTGCAGCATGCCATATTTTTTCTGCTCTGGATAATATCAAAATGCATGCAAATGCCCCGGAACACACAAAGCCCATTATAGGCTGACATTTTTTTTTAATGCGGCAAAATGCACTGCACTGCATATGCAGAAACCCCTGCAGATCTGGTCCTGATTTGGTGTGAACAAGCCCTTATAGCTGCTGCCCTGTTAAGTTCCTGAAGTAATGTGGAGCTATGCAGTTCTGTATACATTGTGAATAGGCAGGTAAGAATTCTCTACATACTATGTCTCTTCTGCAATACAAATCCTGCCTGTTTACAAGTTCTTACTTATGATGTAAAGTTCCAATTTAAAGTGACATTAAACCCTCAGATTTTTTAACATAAAACAATAGTGTAATGTGTGCCTTACTGTAATCCATGGTTGTTTCCCTTCTCTTTGCTGCTCTTCCTTTTTAAATCTGTATCTGTTCTCATGCTGGGCAGAACTTCTGTTTTGCAGCAGACTGCCTTGTCTCAGGAATGGATACATGGTGTCTGTGTGTAGGTTCACAACCTGAGCCAGCACTACAGGAAGAGGCACTCAGCTGCAAAGGGAAGTTCTCCCCCAGCATTAGAAGAGATACAGATTTAAAAGGAAGAGCAGCAAAGATAAGGGAAACTACCATGGATTACAGTAAGGCACACATTACAGTATTGGTTTATGTTAAAAGATCTGAGGGTTTAATGTCACTTTAACTACAGTGCCTTGTCATGTGATACTTTTATGTATGCATTATCAGCATGAGGTCAGGCAGAAGCTGTCAGAGTTCAGGTGATGTTTTAGCTCTGACTACTCAGTGTAGCGCCCCGGTGCTGCAATTGCTTTCTGTCCATCTAGTACCAGAATCCTGTTGGGGTTATTTTGTGTTTGTTTTTTTTTCCAAGGTGTTTATCAGACTTGATCAACTTGTGACCTGAAACAATATGGTCTGTGGCTGTACTTTGTAATGTTGAAAAAACCTGCGTCTGCATTGGGTCCTATGCTAAGGGGAAAGTAAGGTGACGGACTCTTAATAGAACATGTGTACCGTACAAGAAATGTGCTTGGTACTACTGTAACACACTGCTGCACTCTACCAGTATATGTAATTCCAGAACTAGAACTGAAGTCAGGGAAGGAAGATATTCATTAGACTGATTCCAGCCAGCAAAGTAATGGAAATAGAGTTACCGGTAAGTCCTAACTCTGAATTTCTTTCGTTCTTTCACATTTTGCCTACTTTTTGTGTTCTGTCTATTCTCTTATTTTATGTGGGTTTTTTTCCCCGCTCTGGTCTTTTTGTGATGGAGGTTTCAGTGGGAAATTAGTTACCACAATAGAAGTCTAAATGGCCAACATTGTGGCGACTCATTAAAATTCAAAGAATGCCGAGGACCAGAAGCAGACAGTTAGTGCTACCACTGTACCACTCAGAAAGGAGTGAACAGAGGAAACAGGATTGAACACATTATACGGACCCACAGCAGTCCCTACTTCTGGAGTTCTCCTTTAAACTATTATCTTTTTTAAAAAAGGATTTGACCTAAAACATTTGGATATACAACTGCCTTAAGGAGGTTGTTTTATATGCACTGATATTACAGTAACTAACATTTGGTTTAACTGAACATAAACTGTTGCTTTTTAACTGGGACCCAGAGTATTAGTAAATAAATGTTACCAAGTATCTTAAACAGCTAATAGGGTAACTTAGTTTGGGCAACTGTAAAATATGATTTTCATGGCAAATGCCATCTTCTCTTTGCCTTGTTGAAAATATTGTTGACATTATGCAGAGAATTGCTATGGCACCTCAGATGAGCTTGAAAAGCCTGGTGGCTGCAAGTTCTACAACAATTTGGATATAATTGATCACAATTGGAGCATGTTAACTAGAGGGCTCTTGCAAATGATATTACACCTAAATATATACAGTATGTATGTGTGTTCCAGCATGTTGGAAAATCTATGTGTAGCAGGGTGCTGATCATTTCTTTTTCTGCAGAGATCAAAACAACCCTTATATTGAGCTCCCCAGCTAAACACCCATGTCTTCCCCTTCTTTCTCTAGATGTCAGAAGGGTCCAGAAACACAGTTCTTCTATCGGTAGAAGTCTCTGCTGACAGGCAGTGAGGAGAGTGTGATTAACTGACAAGGGGGGGAGGGGTCTCACTATTGCTGATATTCTGCTCATCTACTGTATATTGTACCCACCTGCTCTTCTCCCTCAAGCTGGCTTAAGTATTGTAGCTCTGTGTGCCTGTAGCAATTGCAAGCAGCCCAGAACTACTAGGCTACAACACTCCAGTAAGTGCCGTAGTACTGTGAAATAAGCAAGCTCATTATTCTGCATTGATTGCTTGGATTGCTGTTGTAGTAGGGCTTAGTGTAAGTGGATACTATGGCGACAGTAGAACTATAATTTTCTTATATTAGTGGCATGATCTTGTTAACCATTTTACTACCCTAGCTCGTTTTCTTTTTTTTCTTTTGCTTACTTGTTAAAATGCACATTTTAGAGCTGAAGATGACTTGAAACCCCCCCCCAAAAAAAAACATTCTACTTTATAAAAGCCGGGACTATGTAGAGTAAAATGGTGGTAGTTGAAATTTTTTATGCCGCATGATAATTG